CATTAAAAACTGTTCTCACTTTACTTGTTTCTTTATCTTGCCTTACAACGGCATGATGAGGAAGGTATACTGCTGGGTTGTTAATTTCATTTTCTGGTACTCTCTCTAAATGATTTAACTCTATATATTCTTGCATCACCCTTGTGTATTCACTTTCTAAGCTTTGATCTTTTTCGAATTTCTTTTCTAATTGATACAAATTTCTCAGTGCTATATCTCTTGTTCTTCCTGATGATGATAAAAGTGTTTTTTGTTTTGTTGGAAGTTTTACAATATAACGTCCTTCTGATGTTCTGTGCGTTGTAGCCTGATATATTTCTTCACATGTTTTTTCTTCTGCTGTTAATGCTCTTTTTTCATCTGTACCTTGCTCCCACATATTCCTCAGCATGTCATCTAAATTCAAATTAAGATGCATGACACTGACCTCATAATTTTCTCTGTTGCTTTGTATGTGGCCAAATAGAATCCATCCCAGACTGGTATTTTGAGCACATGGAGTGCCTGGAGGACCTTTGATTACTTCACCTTTCATAATTTGGGCACATACGTCCACACCTAATAACATATCTATCCGTCCTGGTTGATTGAAGCCTGGATCTGCTAATACGAGGCCTTGGAGGTGTGAACAGTTCTTCAGGCAAATGTTTCGAGTTGGTAACTGACATGTAAGACGAGTTGGCATTATGTAAACTTTGATATTGAGGTTAAAGTTTGCTTCTGGTCTTGATAAAAGTTGTATTTCAGCAGCTTGCTTCAAAATTGTTTTGCTGCATCCCATGCCTGTAACTGTACCTTTAATAGCAGTGCGTTTCAGTTTAAGTGTCTGAGCAGCTCTTTCACTTATAAATGTGGCTTGTGAGCCATGGTCTATTAAGGCACGTAGTACAGCTGTATGTCCCAGTTGATCCCTGACAACTATGAGTGCTGTAGCCAATAATGCTGTGGTGGTACTAGTAGCAAAGTGTGATGATAACTGAACATTTGATATTGTTGGATTTGCAGAGCTTCCTTGATCATTATTCTTCGCTTCGTGCGCTTGGTCATTGTCTGGTTGATTTGATGACGTCACCATGTTTTGGTGCACTAAAGAGTGGTGACGTTTATGACATATACGACAGGACATGTTGAGACGACATTTCTTTGCAGAGTGTCCTGGGGCCAAACAATTAAAACACAGATTGTGGTTCTTTAGATATTGACACCTTTCTGTTGGTTCCATCTTAGTAAATTCCCTACAGTGACACAGTGTATGATTTTCTTTACACATTAGGCAACTCCTTAATTTAGACGTAGCCGCAGTAGCAACTTGTAGCGTATTTTCTTTATTTCTAATTATCTTGTCCCTTGGTGAAGGTGTGATTAACTCTAATGTACGAAATTTCGATTGTAAAAACTTACAGAGATCCACCCACAAAGGTAATTCGTCAGAATTTTCCCGGTAAGCAAACTCCTCCCATTCTCTGTGCGTCTCCGGGTCCAATTTCTGCACAACGAGAAATATAATTAATGGATCCCAAGAGTCGGTTGAAATTGTAAGATTTTTTAAGCTATTAATGCATTCTGTAGTGGTATCGAGAAGTGCTTTTATATAGTTTGCAGTTTGGGCAGGGATTTTCCTCTGCATAAATAATCTTTTCAATAGAGAATTTACTATTATACGTTTATTTCCGTAACGAGTTTTAAGCATCACCCATGACTGATCATAATTATCTTCTGTTACTTGAATATGCTTCAACAGAGTTTCGGCTTCACCACTAAGGCTACTCTTTAAATAGTGAAGTTTTTGTACTTTACTAAGAGATGAGTTGTTGTGCACTAACGACATAAATAGATCTTGAAATGCAGGCCATTCTTCGTAAATACCGGTGAAAGAAGGCAGTTGTATCCGTGGTAATTTGACTATTCCTTCATTGGATGTAATAGGGTTGGTAGGTATACTAGGATGCATTGATATTGGCTGTGTTAATGTTGACAATAAATCTCTTAGGTCGGCTTGTAAACATAAATATAGATCCTCATAAATAAAATAGTCTTCGTTTGCGAAATAAGGTATATTTTGCTTCTTTTCTTTGGGAACACATTTTACAAGCTCTTGATGTGATTTTTTAAAAGAATTCCAATACTCTTCTATCATTTGCAGTCGAGTTTCAATGTATCCTTTTGTAAGTCGCTGCTTAGGACATTTCTTTAGGTTGTTCTGAGCCTTTTGTAATAATGCCGCAGTATTTTCTAATAAAGATAATATTTGTTCCGGAGTAGTGGCCATATTTATATAAACGTTCCACAAATGTATAAAACGTTCCACAAATGTAATATAAACAAACTAGTTTTACTTAGATAACTCAAATATGTAATTATTCAAACGTTCGTAAAATGTCTTATAACTTGCACAAGTCACACTCAGGTAAAAAAAGGTTCTTTTGTTCTCGCCTCGACCGCCCGGTCCGTCCTTTTGTTTAGTACTTGCTAGTTATAACGTCACAAGAGACACGTCGTTAGATCCGGCTCGATTATCGACCATATGTTTTGGTATTAAGGTTCACTACTTTTACAGGGACTGATCACAGAAACAAGGTGTCAATGATACGGTGGTTTATTTGCTACTAAACACTTAAATTACATTTTACCTTATTAAAGACCTCACTCACACTTGTATACTGTTCATCTTACATACAACACACACGCATTACAATATTGCTCGAACACTATTAAATTATTTAATATTTTCTTTCTGAAATAGTTTAGTAACAAAAACGCCTTTCATATTGCCAACAAATTAAAAAATGGAAATTCTCTAAGCAGATTAAATAACAATGCATAAACTTGAAAAGTGAAAAGAGTGACTGGGCCAGCCCAGAGCACGAAGTAGAACTGTCGAGTCTATTCTTTTAGATAAGATTCAATGACTTCCCACCTGGTGTAGTTACTTTCTGTGATCATTCGCGCTATCATAAGTCCCGGTATCATATGGTTGAAAGGAAGCTTACAACCGTGTGCCGCCATTATGGTAAAAAGGAGGAAATGGCGCAGCATACCTTAGAGTCTAGAGGATTGCGCGGCTTAGACAGAACTGCGCCTTGTTTTTTTGGCTGTAGTAACTACACTAACCTACACGTACCCTAGACTGTAGACCTCTAACTAGTGGATCGGGCCCCTAATAATACATCTGTGTGCGATGGCAGGAGGAATCCATCGTGGATCTTATGCTAGGCCACGCAGAATGATATGCGCAAAAGATTTTTTTTTATATGTGAATCTCTGGCCAGTAATAATTTATTTTGAAAATACTATTATATACAACATTCTTTCTACATGAGCAAACCACCGAAACATTCCTTTCTTAATCATGTAGAAAAAATGAATGAGGAAAGAGTGACAAAGCAAATTTATGTTGCAGATGTGAACAGCAGACTCGGGAAAGAACGCCATAGGCGAAAGTTTATCGACCAAATTGGCGATATATTGAAAATGGATTAAATTTAGAGTACCCTTAACCGACGAGCATGTATGCATAGGTATATGGATGTGGAGGAGGCAAGAAATGTGTCTGTCTGGGTGACAGGTGTGAATGTTTATGTAAATGTTCATGTTTGATTATATACAAGTAACGACTTTCAAATTTTCCTCCACTTTTTTCTGGTCGTATATATCTTTATTTTTACTATATATATTAGGTTTAAAGTGTTTACTATCTCAAAAAAAGTACAAAAAGTCATTTATATGAGACTTAAAAATAACATAATTGGTAATAATAATACATTTACATATAGTGACTTATATGAATAAAGTTACCTAAATATATTCAAATTAAGAAAGCACTGCCATTAAACATTAAACATTCACTTAAATGACTTGACTTTTGGAATAATTGCAAAAGCTAAATTACAAAATTAATTTTTATCAAATGTTTTGGCGGTAATGACTTGTTTATTTGTTTGATATTCGGGCTGAAATAAATGTTAACATGTTTGTTACAGAGATCAAGCGCGACTGGAAGTGACTCATATTATTGCGGTGTGTGAAATGTGTTTATTATTTTATAATGTTTGAGTATTTCTTTCAGAGTAGATATTATGTTTTTTGATTCTCTTATATTTCTTGGCAATTGGCAATTTATAGTATGATTCGGTTCTTTGGTACATTGCACTTGTTTCGATAGATTGTTCGGGGTGCGTACAATTTTATTTATTTTTCTCGATCTCGATCAGATCTACTTCGGGAACGTTTTCGAGCGATGATATTTTATGATTTCAAATTTCACCCAACATAGAATGAATCCTTTAATAGACCTTTAATAGCATACATTGATTGAGGCTCTTCTATGGCAACCGTGTACTGCAGGTACAACAAATTTAATGATGATCGATTAAGTTTTTAGAGATGAATATATGAGAATTAAACATAAATATATGTTTATAAAATAAACATAGATTTTTCTGTAGTTTGTTTCCAAATTTCGATATATATTAATCAGATTGAAGCATTAAATAACTTTAAGCTATCATTTACCACGTGCTTGGCGGTGAAGGAAAACATCATGAGGAAACCTGCATATCTGATAAATAAGAAAAAAAATATTTCGAAGACATGTGAAGTTTGCCAACACGCATTGGGGCAGCGCGGCGGACCTTTCCTTGCCCTAAAACCCTCTCAGAAATGAGAGGAAGCCTGTGCCCAGCAGTGGGACGTAAATAGGCTGCAACTTTACTTGTACTTTATACATAAATATATTTTTATAAAATAATTAGACATTACATAGATATTTCTGTAGTTTGTTTCCAAATTTCGATATATATTTATCAGATTGAAGCATCATATAAGAACTAAATACATTAAGAATATCCTAAATATTATGTATTGGTAAAATTTATGATGTTAACATGATTTATAGCAGTTATGTTATTAACAAATAAGGATGCAAATCATGTAGCAAAACTTGCTACATTTCCATCAGAAAACTAAACAAAAAATATTTGTTTATGAGGAAAGTTACTTACTTTTCATTTGGAAATTCTTTGTATATAGCATCAATGTCTTCAACGATATGCCTCCTGAGAAGTGTACTTTTTAATACGTTGCCGAAAATAGGTACACCCGGATTATATCTTAAATCTCTCTCATCGAAATATTTATGAATGCGTTTATATGTGTAAATAAAATACACAATTAAAGTAGTCAGAATGAATATTAAAATTTCTACGATCATTTTGCACTGAATTGGTGTATTTGCTTCGACAGCGATCAGCAGTGTAAATGTAGCTACGACTCTCTAGCCAAAACCGACACGCAAATCAAGAAAATAGTTTTAAATGAGAAGCAACGGCGGATTAATATTAAAACTTGTATGCTTATTTGTGTTATTAAAACCTAATAACGTCCACTGCCGAACATTGGCCCCCTATAGATTGCCTAATAAGGGAGAGATTAATTTGTCATAGATGCTACGCTTGGCAAGCAGGTTGGCAACCGCAGTTTTTTTTTTTCAGTCGTTGTTAGGGCGACGCTGCTGCCCATCTCATGGTTTGTTTCCCTCTGTCGCCTCTTAAAACATTTACCGGGGTATATGAGGTAGTAAATATTACTACACCGCCACTACACTGTAAATTTTTTATTAAAATCATAAATTTATTTCTACTCTTTTTTATAGGATATGGGTGACAAACGAGCACACAGTCCACCTGATGGTAAGTGGTTACTGTTGCCCATAGACATCTACATCTATCTTCGATTACTAATCAAAATTCAGATGCGTTGTCACCCGTGAGGACTAAGATGGAATGCCTCTTGTCCAGTAAAAAGGGTCTCAGGTTCTCTACTCTCACCATACGAAACATAGCAGCGTTAAACTGCTATTTTACGTTGATATTCTGTGAGAACATGGTCCTTCCCCAGTTGAGCCGACTTATTCGTGCTACAACTTTACTACTAATAGCTGCAGCATGGCTCTACCACGTCTACTCTTACAGTTTATTTCTATTGACATCAATAACGAGTGTATATTTATTTAATAATATATTTTTGCTTATATTAATTTCTCAACCTTTTGCGAGTTTTATTGTGCAGCACTTATAGCCACAGCGGAAATAAAGTGTTTTACATAGGTTTAAACCAAGCTATCTTCAGCATTCTTCTATTAAAATTATATATTACAAGTAGTAGAGCCATACTGCAATATTATAGTTGTAGCATGAGTGAATTTTTTCGACCGGAGTAGGACTACGTTCATACAGAATACTAGAGTAAAAGAACAGCTTTATGCTGTTGTGATTTTTATAGTGAATGTAGAGAACTGGAGACGTATTTCACCGGAAACGACGCATTCCACCTTAGTCCTAAGAGGGTCGACAAGACATCTGCATTTTGATTCTTAACTGAGGATAGGTGTAGATGTCTATAGGCCATAGCATCCACTTACCAACACGTGGACTGTGTGATCCTGTATCACTATTATACTATAAATATTTTTGTTATCAATAATCATAATAATTCATTACATTCTTTTACAAATAAATACAAAATATTGTTATGAAATCGCTAGATCTTGTAACTTAGTACCATTGCCTGTTATCAATGTAGTTATATTCAATTGATAATATGTAGTCAATTGCTTCAAAAATTTAGAGTCAATTGAGACATTATTGCTTGTTTCAAGTTGTTAGAATATATATTGATACAAATTATAAATTTACTGATGTAAAGTCAAGAAAATAAGGAAACATAACTAAGTCTTGTATCAGACAAGACAGACATCAGACAACCTTCGCGTTACTATTGATAAGAATTGCTATTTTATCTCATTACAAATTTATCTCCTTAGATGTTACTAGTTGAAGATTAAATTGTTTTTCTAATATACACGAGATTGAATATTTTATCAAGTTTAAATTATTTAAAAATAATTGAATATAAATCCTTGATTGCCCAGCTGTTACTTTAGTGTGCTAAAATTAATAAAATAGAAAAGAGAAACCTTAGTAGTTATTAAAATTTTATTTTATAATATTATCGTAATAACTGTTATAAATTATTCATATGAGGAACGCTTACTTTCGAAGGAAACGAATATTATTGAGTTTTATAGATGTGGTGTCAAAAATTAATTTCATTACTTTACGCTATAACGGATCAAGGAATTTCAGTGAAATTCAGAAGCTCATAATCCTGGATATACATATGCTACTTTTACCCCAAAAAATTGGCTGTTCGCTCGGAATGATCAACTAAACTAGAACATCATTGAAACATGACTACTTTATATTTAACGCAGTAATGTACTTCATCTTTCTTTTGTCATGACTCACAAACGCCAGTCGAATCTTTCGCAGAGCTCTCAAAATCTCGAGGTACAACAGCGGCCTTTTAATTTCTCCCCCCCCCCCCCCTCCTTTCATCTCTTCCTGTCGCTTTGTGATCACTTAAGTCAATTTAGTAATTAAATAAATTCCTTTTAGGTTGTCTGGAAGAAATTGCTGTATAGCAAAAAGATTGCCTTTTGTTTTTCTCTCTGTTTATTTCTTGTTATGTTATTTGTTTTTTAGTGAACAATAAAGGGTATTGTATTGTAGGTGTAGTACTACAGTATTAATTACCATTAAGTATACTATTTCTCATTCATAGCCCTCGCAATATAATATATGCGATAATTATTTGCAAAACCTTGAGAATATATTACTTTAAATTTGATACAATAATATCATCCAACATAACCAAAAGTTGCAAACAGCTGTTAAATTAAAATTTTCCTCCTAATGGGTATGGTAAACATTAGAGAAATATGTTTCGAAGTTCCGAATGACCTTAAAATTACAAAGGGGTTGAATAATTGCTTCTAAAATATTTGTTACCAAACATGTATGTAATGGCATGCATGGCAACATATTATAATCGAGAAAAAACTGCACTTGAAAGAAATAGCATAAATATAGAAAGAAAAGGAAACAAAAGAACGATAGACGATATTGGTTGCGAGTATAATTAATATTATTTTAATGTTACGTTTAAAATATGTATTATGAATATACCAAAAAGAATCCTTATATCGCGTACGTAGCGGAAACTCTTGACAATAGAGCACAGTGATGTAAACAGTTGTATACAGAATATCAATACCTACAAAAAAGTCTGCGGATACCATATGTCTAACTATTACAGTTATGTCACAATAATTACTTTTTCATGTAAAAAAATGCAATATATACTTTTTCATGCTAAAATGTGCAATAGTAACGCCGAAAAATCCTTATTACGCCTACACTGCGGAATCTAGAAACAAACCTACAAAAAGATTTACAATATATTATGTTTAACTATTACAGTTATGTCACAATAACTAATTTTTCATTTAAACAAAAAAGCAATAGTAACGCCGAAAAGTCCTTACTACGCGTACGCTGTGGAAACTATTGACAATAGAGCAAAGATGTACTACAGTTTTATATAGGACATCAATATCTACAAAAAATCTGCAGTACCATATGTTTACCTATTACAGTTATGGCACAATAACTACTTTTTCATGTTAAAATATGCAATAGTAACGCCGATAAATCCTTATTACGCGTACACTGCGGAAACTATTGCCAACAGAGGAGTGAAATGCTACAGTTTTATAGAAGACATCAATATCTACAAAAAAATTGTTATACCATATGTCTAACTATTACGGTTATGTCACAATAACTACTTTTTCATGTTTAAATATACAATAGTAACGCCGATACAAACTGGCCTAGTTTGTATCATTATTCGTACCATGTTATTAGACTATTCCGAAGATATCCCGGACGTCAGTCTGAGCGAGATTAGAATGGCTCTCCAGCACCTTAAAAACCGCAAGGCCCCAGGCGAGGATGGAATTACAGCGGAGCTTCTGAAAGCGGGTGGAAGACCGGTACTTGATCCTTCAGAAGCTCTTTAATTCCGTCCTCCATGGTGGCATTACACCGGAGGCGTAAAGCAGAAGTGCGGTGGTCTTGTTCTTCAAGAAAGGTGACAACGCTCTCTTGGAGAAATACAGACCGATTTCCCTTCTGAGCCGCGTCTACGTGCTGTTTTCGAGAGTCATTACGAATCGTCTCGCGCGCAGACTTGACGACTTCCAGCCTCCCGAACAAGCCGGTTTCCGAAAGGGCTTTAGCACCATAGACCATATACATACCCTTCGGCAAATTGTACAGAAGTCCGAAGAGTACAATGTGCCACTATGTCTGGCCTATGTGGACTATGAGAAAGCCTTTGATTCCGTCGAAATTTGGGCGGAGCCGCGGTCCCTTCAGCGGTGACAAGTTGACTGTCGGTATATCGAAGTGCTGAAGTGTTTGTACAGTAGAGCTACGATGGCTATCCGAGTACAGAACCAGAGTACGAAACCTATCCAATTGCAGAGAGGTGTAAGACAGGGTGACGTTATATCCCCAAAACTCTTCACCGCTGCATTGGAAGACGTTTTCAAGGTTCTGGACTTGAAAGGATACGGTATTAGCATCAACGGCGAGTACATCACTCACCTTCGATTTGCCGACGATATAGTCCTTATGGCAGAATCGCTGGAGGACCTAAGCACTATGCTCAATGACCTCAATAGTGTCTCCCAACGGATAGGTCTTAAGATGAACATGGACAAAACAAAGATTATGTTTAATGTCCATGTCACACCTTTGCCGGTATTTCTTGGGAGCACTTAGCTCGAAGTTGTTGACGAGTATGTTTACCTGGGACAAATAGTCCGACTAGGTAAGTCCAACTTCGACCGAGAGAAAATCGACGGATTCAACTCGGCTGGGCAGCGTTCGGGAAGCTACGACACATCTTTTCGTCAGACATACCTCAAAACCTTAAAACGAAATTGTACAACCAGTGCGTGTTGCCTCTGCGCTGGATGCGGTCAAGTGGAAGGAGCTGGCACTGGGGAGCCTCTGCCCAGAGATGGGAACAGTATTCCATGTGAGGCCGAACCTGCGCCTTGAAAAGTTGCAGGTGGTGTGTCGGCATGAAATACTGTCCCGCTCTGCTGAGCACGCCAAGCTTTTTAGAAGCCAATTTAACCTTCTCTTCCAAGTGACCACGAAATTGCACGTCACTCGATATGTCGACGCCGAGAATTCCGATACTTGCTGAGGCAACAAGGGGAGTGCCTTGACACTGAGGAGATACGACAAAAGGGTTCCTTTTAGCGGTAAACGCGCAAACTTGCGTCTTTTGGGGATT